CCCCCCCAGCTCTCTGTCCAGCCTGTCTCTCTGTTTCACAGAGGGGAAAACCAAGTGTCGGGTCTCCCGACCAACAGAAGACTCCTTGGCTGTTTGCAGTGACTCCCCTGGACGCCCCACGCCGGTCGTTACCTGGGGGAAGGGAGGAAAAGCTCCTTAATAACAATCCTGCTTTGCTGCTGACTAGCTCTCCCCTCGGAGACCTCGGCGTGGGTAAAATATTACCACCCAGGCCCGGGTCTCAACTCGCAGCCCTGTGCACTAGTCACTAGGCCCCCCTGCCTGCAGTTCCAGGGATCCACACGGATCCCCTAGGAGGCAGGAGAAGGGAGAACAAATCAATTTCCCCCACCCAACCCCAACAGGTTCTAGGCTCTCCGACCCGCACAAGCTGCTGCGTTCTAGGCTCTCCAACCCGCCCAAGCCAGCAGGTTCTAGGCTCTCCGACCCACACACGCTGTTGCGTTCTAGGCTCTCCAGCCCTCCTGGCTGCAGCCCCAGGTCTGTTGGGCCATCCACGGGGCTCATGCACCTGTTTGAAAGGCAGGGCTGGGGGGCCCCGCGCAGCCCTTTCACTGCCCCACAGCCTCCTTGCTGGTGCCAGGGCCACAGAGCAATGGCAGGTCACTGCCTGGGGGGGCAAGTAACCCTGGAAGGCGAGGAACCAGCTGCCCCCGGTCACGGCTCTGCCCCCCACCCGCCAATCAAACCCGCTTTGTGGGAACACTCACTGCTGGGCGAGGATGAGCGGGACGTGGGCGCTGTCGTGCCGGCCCGGCAGTGGGGAGACCCTCTCGCCCGTGCGCACGTTGAACATGGGCAGGGTGGAGAGGGGGCGGGGCACGTCCCGGCTGCTGGCCATGTGCCTCAGCTCCTCTGTGTTACTGTGGATCGTGTTGTGATGCACCATCTGGATACTGACAACGGGGGAGAGCAGAGAGGACACCCTTAGTCTGGTGCTGGGGTGAGGGGAGGGGAAGAATGGGGAATAGTCATTGATTTCTGGGGGGGGGAGTCTTGGAAACCCAGCCCTGCACCCCACTGTGCTAGGTGCGGTATAATATTTATTAGGTGTATTACGGTAGCACCTAGGCGCCTGTCAGGTGCAGACCCCACTGTGCTAGGTGCGGTATAATATTTATTAGGTGTATTACGGTAGCACCTAGGCGCCTGTCAGGTGCAGACCCCACTGTGCTAGGTGCGGTATAATATTTATTAGGTGTATTACGGTAGCACCTAGGCGCCTGTCAGGTGCAGACCCCACTGTGCTAGGTGCGGTATAATATTTATTAGGTGCATTATGGTAGCACCGAGCCTGTGGTGGCCCAGACCCCACTGTGCTAGGCGCTGTAGGAAGGAAGACTGGAGGAATTGGGTTTGTTTAGTTTGAAAAGGAGAAGACTGAGGGGACATGAGAGCAGTTTTCAGGTATCTAAAAGGGTGTCTTAAGGAGGAGGGAGAAAACTTGTTCATCTTGGCCTCTGGGGATAGAACAAGCAGCAAGGGGCTTAAACTGCAGCCAGGGAGGTTTAGGTTGGACATTAGGGAAAAGTTCCTGCCTGTCAGGGAATGAATTGCCCAGGGAGGTTGTGGAATCCGCATCTCTGGAGATAGTTAAGAGCAGGTTAACGTGTGAGCTCAGCTCTGCCGGGGTGCAGCAGAGGAGATGGGGCTGCCAACTGGCTTTGCTGCTTGAAAGTCTCTTCCCCCCCCCCCCCACACGACCGCCCCCCCAC